AATACGAAGCATACTAATAAAATCAGTAATAAATTTTTATGCAAAAGATTTAGAAACCACTCACCTTTTAAAGCTTTTGAACACAAAATGCTTGCAATCAACCTTTTGAAATCCAACTCTTGAAAACAGCTTGAAATCTTCCTCTCTTGATAAACCGGACAACACACTCTAATYCTCTCAAATTCTCTCAAAATTGGCAGGAAAAACCAAAGATAAAGGGGAGTAACCCCTTTTATACTTAGCAAAAATGGGGAAGGTCGGCTACCACCTTCCCCCCCCCTTTTCTTGCCACCTCAACCCAAACACATGCATACACATGCACACATATGCACACACTCACACACACACATATATATATATATATATATATATAATATACATAGCCATCATCCAATAAACACACATATATATATATATTTTCATAAAAATATATATATATAACCAATTAATTCACAATTTTTCAAACCGGCATGTATCAATTACCATGCTATTACGTAATTATAAAATCAGATAATCACGTATAAATTTACCTTGGGTAATAACCAAGATCTGGTTATCAGACTTGATTTGGATAATGTAATGTCATCAAACACCTTTATATATCTCTGAATCTAGATCCCCATAGAGATATGTAATAACCACATCATTGAGTTGCATTTCAATCTTTCGGGAACTACTATGCTAGTTAATTAGCATAACATTATAACGTTTATCACCAGAGAATTAAGTCTTTTCATGGTCAATGCATGGCATTGTGAGAAATCTAGCGCCAAAGGATATCCTGATACATCATGACTTAATTATTCTCATTATGCTTTCTGACAAATTTATCTATGTTCTACAGGCTTTACACTTGGTAGATTAGCACTACCTGACCAAATACCCGCTCATTTGTCAAATAGTATAACTTTCCTAGATTGTTTCTTTTCATTTAGACCATATTTTGCTCTTTGTTGACATTTTTCAACTGAGCATGGTTCAATGTTATCGTGCTCTATCATCTCATAAGCAACAATATATGAGATATATCATCAGGAGTATGTATGATATGTCCATCGATTCATATTGTTGGTCTTAGCCGTATCTACAAGAATTTATAGGTAACAGTTTGTAAAAGAGGGGGATGAATACAAACACAATAATTTTCACTTTTAAAAATTATATATCGATAAAGAAAATCAATACAAATTTTATAGATTGTTTGCGGAAGAGATAGAATACAAAACCTATCTAAACAATCTAAGATACACATAAAATACATATAGCAATAAGA